AAAAAAAAAAAAAAAAAAAAAGAAGAACATCTTCCTTTTCCTCACCTGATCTTCCAATACGATGGAGATAGGTCTCTGCCAGCTTTGGGAAGTCAAAGTTTATTACCACATTCACAGCTTGTATATCAATACCTCGGGTAAACAAATCTTAAAAAAGAAAGAGAGAATCTCCATTATATCTTCCAATTTAAGCATGTTTCTTGGTACCACAATACTCTTTAACATGTCTTTCTAGTGCAACCTAAGTTCTAATTCATTAGGTATTTTAAATGTACTTGCAAATTACTAGCATTATCTTTACTGCACATTATCATAAATAATTTTCTGCTAGCCAAGTTACCTTTTCCTAAGTCCCATAAATTTTTTTTTGAAACGGTGTAAGGTAACTGCAAATGCAGGAAGAGATCAGAATGACTGTTAAGCTACAAACTCATTATAAATGAGTCTCAGGAGTAACCAGTAATTTTTAGTATTCAATCCAAGATCAAAATAGATTAACCAAGAATACTTTGAAAAGAAGAGATAAGCCACTAAGAGTAATTACTTACACTTTTAGAATTCATTCATCTCATTCTAAGTGATTTACAAGTCTGAGGTTAGTGCCAAGGCCACACCTTCTCTTTTCTAGTTCCCCAATTACTACGCTAATTTAGGCTATGAAAACTACAAGTAGAAACAATTACAATAGACTAATAACTAGGTTTTAGGGCTTCTATCAGTTCCACACTCCAAAATAATCCACAATGGTGGCTACTGTTTCCAAAATACCGCTTTGAATTTGTAACTCATTAATTTGCCTCTGGATAAAATTTAAGACTGACATACAAGGTCCTCCACCCTACACGTGTTGATCCTAATATACTTCTCTAACACATGTCCTCAAACCCCCTCCATGAAATTCATCCACTTATCTTTCCTTAAATGCATGTTCTTGAAGCCATCTATGGATCATGTTTTATACCAGTCCCCTAACTGAAAACTCCTTATTCAAGTCTAAAACTTATATAGTTTATGAAGCCAGTTAAAATTCCAGCTCTTCTCAGGTCACCACAGCTAATTAATTTCCCTTCCTATGAAAATTTAGGACTTTTTTCCTACACACACCTCACATTTGCAAATTACCTTTACCCCCTTGAAGACACAACCCGAAGCCTGTTTTAATAAAGTTTTACTGCCACAGGACCATGCCTGTGTGTTTATGTACTGTTTAAGGGTGTTTTTAAGCTAGAATGGCAGAGCTGAGTAACTTGTTTCAGAGACCTTATGGTATACGAGGTCTAAAATACCTACTATCTGGCACTTTAAAGAAAAAGGTTGCAGGGCCTGCTTTAGACTCTCAAGGTTGTTTATCTTTTTTACCTCTGATTAAACCATTGGTCCTTGAAATAAAGAGTGATACTTCGCATGTATTTATACACTTTGTACACATACGTTATTCAGTACTTATTTAATGACATTAAACACTCTTCTGTTTTCTGTCTGCACATGCTGAATTTGCTTAACAACTCTCAACATTTCACCAGTGAACTAGTTCCTTTTCTACATTATAGGTTCCCCAAGGGCAGGGAGTATGTGTGTATATATCTGAAAATTTTTAATTATGGTAAAATAGACATAAAACTGAGGAGTAATATTTTTCCAGCACCAACTAACTAAATACCTGGCAGAATATTGGTTGAATATCAAAAACTATTTTTGAATAAATAAAACACATATTTGTTCAGAATTTGGTTTAAAGCATTCTCATTTTACAGATTAAAAAAAAGGCATAAAAGAAAAGCATGACTTGTCCAAGGTCGTATGATTACAGGTTAAAAAGGGTAGGACTTGAACCCTAATCTTAAAATTCTAAAAGTCTATGCTTCAATTTTGTGTCAGCCTCTCTCTGCCCCTCCCCTGCTCACGCTCTTTCTCTCAAAAACAAACCAACATTAAAAAAATTTTTTAAATAAAAATAAAAATTCTAGAAGTCTAATATCCTTTCCATTTATTTCAATATAAAGGTTAGAATTGCTGGTAAAGTAAACATACATGTATTAATTCACAGCTGTATTGTTAGACATAAGACAGAAAAAGGTAAACTGGAAGCACCAAGGATACCTGATAGTCTTTTTTTGGTTCTTGTAGATTAGCAAATTCAATATTCCGTTAGTAAAAATTTGGAGTTTATTTCTAGAGCAGCATTTTAACAAATTCAAATTGTGAACTACTCTACATTTTGATCTGGATGATAGTTGTATGGGTGTATACATATGCAAAAAGTCACTGGGGGGTGCCTGGATGGCTCAGTCGGTTGAGTGTCTGACTGCGGCTCAGATCATGATTTCGTGGTTCGTGGGTTCGAGCCCCGCATCAGGCTCTGTGCTGACAGCTCAGAGCCTGCAGCCTGCTTCCGATTCTGTCTCTGGCTCTCTCTGCCCCTCCCTCACTTGTGCTGTCTCTAAAATAAATATTAAAAAAATTTTTTTAGATGTAAAAAAAAGTCACTGAATGATATCCTTACAATTACTGTATTTCTCTGTGTATGTGTACCTCAATTACAGAAAAAAGTCCTTGGGCCGCCTGATTTGTGGGTTCAGGCTCCACATCACGTTCTGTGCTGACAGCTCGGAGCCTGGAGCCTGCTCCAGATTCTGTGTCTCCCTCTCTGTCTGCCCCTCCCCTGCTGTCTCTCTCAAAATTAAGCACTAAAAAAAAAATTTTTTTTAAATCCAGATTCTTCTCTACCCAGAAGCCTAGTTTAGATGATTAATCTCATACCAATACTAAGATTGTACTTCCAGTGTAGAGATGGAAGGATACTCATTGTCTGTTCTGAATGTCCACCTGGCTCCCGAGTTGAAGTTCAGTACACTAAATATACACCAAAATATAGACTAGTCTGTTTCTGGCCAAAAAATTAAGAGGCCACAGTAAATAATTTCCAAAACATAGTTTCTTAATGTTAATTTATTTTGCATGTACTACATACATCTCATTCCTGTATGCTAAGGTTATTCAGAAAACACACAAATTCCACAACTGTTTAAAAGACAGAGATGAGGTATGAGCGCCAACAAGTGTTCTGCAGTTTCAGATATGGAAACTAGTTTCAGGAATTAAGCTCATTTCAACTTCAGAAATTCCAGAAATGGTATTAGGGTGAGCTGAACTCTGTCACAGACTCTGATGGAAGATATGGATAGAGAAAGCAGAGCAGAACTAAAGAGAAAACCAAGGGATAAATACGGAAATACTTACCAGTGCAAACAAGATTGCGGCATAAGCCATTTCGGAAATCATGAAATACACGATTTCGATGTTCCTAGGAACAAAGTAATGCACTTGGTTTGTTTAAATCTCATACACATAACCCTAATTTTAATTTCTCCTATCCAAACAGTTTAGTATACCCGAAATTTACACAAATGAGAGAGGAGCCAATTCAAAACCCCTAAGTTAAAAACAAAAGATAAAAAAGTTAACCATATATTAGTTTCCCATGGGAATTAATAAGCAACTAAAACATATTTTAATACGTATCTTCATGTACCATTTATCTTAACTCTTAAGGGTATTTTTTATCTTTTTTTGCTGGGTTTTAAGCAACAATTTTCACCATGTTTTTGTGTATATATTTTTTCAATGTTTCAAACAGAAAATGACAGAAGTTTGGCCTGATCTAAACATCTACTACTTGTCTTTTGAGTTATCTGTATGCAAAAACAAAAATTTACTTTTCAATTAAAATACAAAAATGAAAACACCTACATAATGACTCTAAAAAAAGTGAAATAAATCTATCATCTGGCAAACTCATCTTTCCTTTCATTCAAAGCAACATTTTTCCAGTTGGAAATATTCTCTACACCTTAATACATTCATTTCCTGTGACAATTTCTAATATTAGGGTCCACATGATGATATCTGATCCATTTTCAAGCTGCTTTGAAAACCGTATGTGTGCTGATTAACTTAAGCTCTTAATCTGTTAGTCTACAGGAACTGCTTTCTTTCACAAAATTTCACAATGTTTAATTAGCACACACACAAAAATCTTATTTTTATAGTTCTGCATTTCTTTAAACTCTTGATTTAGTTCTAAAATTTAGAGATTGTGCCCTTAAGGCAAACAGTGAAGAAAAACATAAGGGCTGAGGTACATAAATTAAAAATCTAGAGCAGTGTTATCCAATAGAACCTTCTGCAATGATGGAAGTGTTCTATATCTGTACTTTCTAAAACTGTAGTTGCTAGTCACATGTAACATGGCACTTAAAATGTGGTTAGTGTGACAGAGAAACTAAATTTTAAACTTTAATTTTAACTCCTTTAATTGCCACATGTGACTAGTGGTTACTGTATTAAACAGTGCAAATCTGCATTACCTGGGAAAGGGAGTAAAATCTCATATTTGTATCATGCTCAATAGTTTACAATAGTTACTCATTTATAAACTATCTCCATCTTCCTAACAACCTTGTGAGGGAAGAGTGTGTATACCATGTTTTATAGCCAGAAAACTGAACCACGGAGGTCACAATGAAAGGTCCCTTGCTTACTAAGGAATAATTCATTCTTATGTTTAGGACATATGGAGGAGCATTAAAACAAAAAACAGAATCCAAGAAATACTTAGAAAAAGATTTTAAAAATCCGCACACAAGTTCCAGTTTTATACTCACCTGCCTCATTTTAGCATGGATATAGAAGCAAGAATAACCCAGTTGAGAAATCTTCTTGGCTAGCAATTCAACTCGCTGAGAGGAGTTACAGAAAATGATCGACTGGTTTATCTGAAGCTAAAGGGAAAAAAAAAAAAAAAGATATGAGAAAGAAAAACAAAAACCTTCATTTTACTTTGCCAAATCTTGAAAATAGTGACCGACAGATGTTAAAAATACGGTCTAAGACTTAGAATCTCATGACACAACAGAGATGCAAAACTGTAAAAATCATCAAGACTAAAACACATTCAATTCTCATTATATGCAATAATTATGTTCTATAAAGTTGCCACAAACACTGGATATGTGAAAAAAACAAAAAATACTGAACACGTGAATACAAAACCACTGCTCCCAGGAGAGATAAAGGATTAGGTTCCTGTGAGCCTCTAGTCACATCTTTTTCACCAATCCATCAACAGATAATCTTATGTGTGTTGCTATTCAAAGACCCCTTATTTACTCATGGCCAACAGTGTAACTCCTGCCTGGCTGTAAAGAGTTTATCCGATACACATTTTCTCTGCAAGGCACATCAGTTTTCTTGTGCTTAGGAGCGACAGAGAGCACTAAGCTTAGGAGCCATTTAAAACTGTGAAACAGGGGCGCCTGGGTGGCTCAGACGGTTAAGCGTCCGACTTCGGCTCAGGTCATGATCTCGCGGTTTGTGAGTTCAGGCCCCGCGTTGGGCTCTGTGCTGACAGCTCAGAGCCTGGAGCCTGTTTCAGATTCTGTGTCTCCCTCTCTCTCTGACCCTCCCCTGTTCATGCTCTGTCTCCCTCTGTCTCAAAAATAAATAAATGTTAATAAATAAATAAATAAATAAATAAATAAATAAATAAAACCATGAAATAAACAAAAACCAAAACATTAAAATGCAAAAAATGTGGCATTAATGTGGCACAGACTACAAGAAAGACAAGTATGAGAGCAGAAATAAGAAGGCAGTGTGTCACCTTGTTCAATCTCAGTTGGGATTATGCACAACTGCTGTTATTTTCCATTGTACTACTAGTATCCACAAATGACTTCAGTAGCACGTGCATATTGATCACAAGTTATAAATAAATTTTGGGGAGCAGCCAAATTTGCAAATACAGAATATGCAGATAATGAGAGCAACTATAAAATCAAGGTCAAACTATTTTAGGATTTAATTAAAAGTACCTTTGACATCATACTGTATCAACTTCAGATCAACAACCCAAACTACCTTTTAAGAAAAAGCTGTGGACTGTTTTTTACATTGAAAATGGTAGGAAAAATAGACACAACTGTTTAATTGGGGTTATTTTTTTTTTTTTAATTTTTTTTTCAACGTTTTTTATTTATTTTTGGGACAGAGAGAGACAGAGCATGAACGGGGGAGGGGCAGAGAGAGAGGGAGACACAGAATCGGAAACAGGCTCCAGGCTCTGAGCCATCAGCCCAGAGCCCGACGCGGGGCTCGAACTCATGGACCGCGAGATCGTGACCTGGCTGAAGTCGGACGCTTAACCGACTGCGCCACCCAGGCGCCCCTGTTTAATTGGGGTTATAATATTCAGTAGCTGAAGCCCATTACTTACCCTGGAGAAAAGTGTGTTGAGGCAGTGTACTTTTTGGCGCTCAGTTACATAGGCATAGTACTGGGTTACTCCCTTCAAAGTTAGTTCCTCCATCAGGTTAATCTCATAGGGTTTCTGCAAATGGGAATTCTGAAAAAAAGAAGAGTCATATAATTCAATGAAAGCAGAGTGTATCTCTGGAACTCAAAATATACCCTACAATTTTCTGATAAAACTATTGCTTTAAAGGGATGCAGATCTCTTCTCTTCAAAGTATACATAATCTATGATGGAAACAAGTTACCATATAATGGAAGATCTAACATTCAGATATGTAGCTAAGTTCCTATTTTGTGCTTTGTATATAGGATCACACTATAATCAATTTATCCAGTATCAATGATTATGTCAGCCTGACACCAAACGCTAAGTGAATAATTTAATCAAATTACTATTACAACTAAAACAATAAGTTAATTTATGCACAACAAATCTTAACTGATCAGCTGATGAAAAAGCCAACAACTTGAAACAATCAGCATAACGTAGAGACTAATTACAGGATGTAATTATGAATAAAGGTATACTTGTGGGCAACAGAATGGCACTGCTTCCATGTAGATTTATACTCACCATGAACTTCTGTACACTAAGAGGAAAAGTAGCGGAGTATAATAAAATCTGTCTGTTTTTAGGTAGCGTGAGAATAATATCCTCCATTATCTGCACAAAATCCTGTGACAGCAACTTATCTGCCTGCAGTACAAAGAAAAGACAATTTCAAAAACAATTAGTGTTTAAGGTCTTTGGTTAGTAAGGCATCATCCAAGAGCATTCATGTAATACTCCTGGTTGTAAAACAGTAAGTTCTCTAACATCATCCAGTCCGATGGCACCAAGACACAGTCCCAGGGATTCAGAAGGTGGATAATCTATAATACCATATTCTAGATAGGCAAAAAAAATTCTAGAACAGAATTTTAATTTAGTTTGAGAGACAGTGAGAGAGAAAAATGAGCATGCGTGGGAGGGGCAGCAAGAGAATCCCAAGCAGGCTCTGTGCTCAGTGCAGAGCCCCACTTGGGGCTCTGTCTCACTGTGAGGTCATGACTTAAGCCAAAATCAAAAGTCAGATGCTAAGCTACCTAAGCGTCCCCCATAACAGAATTTTAATGTGATTTCCATGAGAGACAGTACATGGCTGAGAGTACAATCTGCAAAGTCAAATTACCTGAGTTGAAATCTAGTCTCTTTGACTTTTTAGCTATGTTGGCAGGTTATTTACACCCAATACTTCAGTCCACAACTTTAAAATTAGAAATTTCACTTATTGTTAACTACTTTATAGGATACCTACCTTACAGGGTTGGTGTAAAAAGTAAATGAAGAAACATGTTCAGTACTTATTGCTAGCCAATAGTCATTAATAAACATTCTCTCTCCTTACTCAAAGATAAAAAAACCTGTCTGATAGACTACAATAACCTGATCTAGTTATCTAAGACACAAATCAAATAGGAAAGCAACTTTATTTCAAAAACATTAACACCCATAGACTTTATATACAAAAACACTGCCAGATCCCACAAATGCAGAGCCAGAGTAAGTTCTTAAAAGGCACTTACAACCTGGTGAGATAACACATATACTGGAGATGAAAAACCAAACAGTACAAAGGACATACTAGGGGCATCTGGATAGTTCAGTCAGTTAAGCATCTTGACTGATCTCACGGTTTGTGAGATTGAGCCCTGCATGGAGCCTGCTTGGGACTCTCACTTGCTCTTTCTCAAAACAGATAAACTTAAGAAAGAAAGAAAAGAAAGAAAAGAAAAGAGAAGAGAAGAGAAGAGAAGAGAAGAGAAGAGAAGAGAAGAGAAAAAAGAAAAGAAAAGAAAAGAAAAGAAAAGGAAAAGAAGACATACTAAACGAGGAGTGAGAGACATTACATGTCTTTTAAGACGTATTACTGATTGGAAAGAGACTTAGAATGAATTTGGCTTTAAGGTATTCAACAATTACTTTTCTTGAAAAATAAAAACAAAACTTATAAACTATCTGGCATCCCTAAGAAAAAGACCCAAGGCTGAACTTTTCCTATAAATACCTATCACCTATTGCCTTTAAAAAGTTAAATGGGTTTTATAAGCAAATTAGTTTGAATTGACAAAAGTCATGCATTTATTAAAGGTTCACAGGGGCGCCTGGGTGGCGCAGTCGGTTAAGCGTCTGACTTCAGCCAGGTCACGATCTCGCGGTCCATGAGTTCGAGCCCCGCGTCAGACTCTGGGCTGATGGCTCAGAGCCTGGAGCCTGTTTCCGATTCTGTGTCTCCCTCTCTCTCTGCCCTTCCCCCGTTCATGCTCTGTCTCTCTCTGTCCCCCCAAAAATAAAAATAAACGTTGAAAAAATAAATAAATAAATAAATAAATGAATAAATAAATAAATAAATAAAAAGGTTCACAAACACAAAGAACTTTTGCTTCATTCACTGACAGTTCTAAACAAAGCACAAAATAATACTTTCCAAATAAAGAGACATTACCTCATCCAACACTATCATCTGGACATGATCAACTTTTGCTACTCCTTTCTTGATAAGATCCAGGATTCTTCCAGGGGTAGCTATCACCACATGCACTACACAAAATTAGAAAATATGTATTCTCATTAATTTTAGCTTAGGCAAACATGATACAATAAAGATTTATCATACATATTTTATCAGAAACACTGCTGTAAAGGTAGGAATAATACAAACAGGCAAAGACGTGTTTTAGGATATGGATTTTCATTTCATCTTAGGTTGGCCAGAAAATACTTGTTTCACTTCTACGTGGGGTGAGCTAACAGATTCCCAAATCACCTGCTCCAAATAAGGGGCATACTTGTATTAAAACAATCCCCAATGAATAACAAAGGCATACCAGGCTTTTGGTACAGTTGCTTCCCTCTAATCTAGAGGAATGGCCTTCAGAAGATTATTACAAAGATGAAATGAGACAATCATTTTAAGTAACTGTGCAGTATGAAGCACATGGTAAGTAATTTACCAGATGACAACCATATATAAGATTCTGACTCAAACTTTATGTATAATTTTATATAAGTTAATTTCATGCTTGGTGTTTTGTTATCTTTTTTCACTTAATGATGTATCCTGGAGAACTCTTAATGAAAATGAATACAGTTCAGCTTAATTTTTTAACAGCTTTGGGGAATTCCATTCAGACTACACCCCGATGTATTTAGCCAATCTCCACTAACGTTTAGGATGTTCCAATTTTTTAGTACTACAAACCATACTGCACTAACCTGGCCCTGCATTTGCCTATTTCTTCAGGAAAGATTCTTGAATATATACACTCCTAATTTCAAAACATAATCACAAACTGCTCACCATAAAGATTGTATCAATTTATACCCCCATGCTACAAGATAGACTGTTTCTTCTCAAACTTTTATTACTGGTTACTACTATTTCTTAGTCTTGCCAATTGGATAGGCATGGTATCAAATTGCTGTTTTCATTTACATTAAAAAAATTACCAGGAAGGCTGAATATCCTTCCAATTAATATCAATTTGTCTTTTTTCTCGAATGAAATGGTCATTTCCTTTACTCATTTTTCTACTGCAATGTTTCTGGTCCTTAATTCTCAAAAACAATTTTTAGTAAGTTTAAAAGGAAACACCTGTGTCTGTAATTCCACTTAGAGCCAAGCCATCTTAGAGCAATCATTTCCTACCTGTGTCATCAAGCCTCATTATGTCATCCCGTAAATTGGTTCCTCCTGTGGTTGCCATCACTTTGGCCCCTCCCATGTGTTTGCTGACCTGGATGCAAATTTGACTGACCTGTAGAGCAAGTTCTCTAGTGGGAACAATCACCATTGCTAGAAAACAGAAAAAAAAGAAAACATATTTTAAGAGTTTTTAATAAGCTACAGAAATACTGCCCCTTGCAATCTAGATACTCAGGACATTTTAGAAAATTGAATCCTAATAGGCCTGATTCTGAAAAGTCAAGTAAGTAAATTTCCTTTACCAAAAAAACAAACAAAAAACCAAAAAACCCCACCTATTACAGTATTGCAGATTCAGACTTTTCCTCAGCAGCACTGCTATATAAACCTGGTACTCCTTAGTTACAAACCTTTAAAGGGTTCTTTGAGTTGGTAAAAACTAGCCCAAAGTTTATTAATTTTTCACCAAAAGATTCACTAGTCTAAACACCTGAATAGAAAACTCTTGCTGCCCAGGTTCCATTTAAATCACATGAAAGTAGGTAAAAGGAAAATGGAAGAAATGATCATTATAGATCAAGACCAATTTATGAAAATTTAAGAAAAAGCTTTAGAGGTCAAAAATTATGGGATGCCTGGGTGGCTCAGTTGGTGGAGTGTCTGACGTCATCATCTCATGGCTTGTAAATTTGAGTCCTGCATCCGGCTCTGTGCTGACAGCTCAGAGCCTGGAGCCTGGTTTGGATTCTGTGTCTCCATCTCTCTCTGCCCCTCCCCCACTTGCGTTCTGTTTCTCTTAAAAATAAACTTAAAAAAAAAAACAAACAACTAACTCTATTAGCTTGCTCTGCGTACAACTATGGAAATTTCTTTCTTCTCTACTTCCTAAGCTCTTAAAATTCCAAAACCACAAGGCTTTATACAGAAGAAAAAGTTCATGAGCTCTTGCAGACACACAGGTGCCACAAGAAACAACTCAGTTCCATAATTTCTAAGTAGCAATGTCAGATTAACTTCTCATGATCTTAGCTTTCCTATCTATAAGGCAATAATGCTTATTTTGCCTATTTCACTGGAATGTTATCAAAACTGTGTAATATGTAAAACTCTTCTGAAAACTAGAAATCTTTCCAAAAGCTGGATATTTTGTAAGACAACTGGGCCCCAAGCTGTGAAAGGATAGGTAAATACTAACTCCAGATTATATAAATTCTGACTAAAAAAAAGATGGTAACATCTTCCACATAGCTCCAAGGTGCAAACTGCAATTTTTAGTTTAAACAAACAACTAACTGGGACACCCGGGTGGCTCAGTCAGTTGAGCCTCCAGCTCTTGATTTCCGCTCAGGTCATGATCTGACACTTCATGACTTTTGAGCCCCTCATTGGGCTGTGCGCTGGCAGTGCAGAGCCTGCTTGGGATTCGCTCTTTCTCCCTCTCTGTTCCTCCCCAGCTTGTGCGCTCTCTCAAAATACATAAATAAACTTAAAAAAAAAAAAAAAAAACTAACCTTGTATATTGTCCTTCTTCAGGTCTAGCCGTTCAAGTAAGGGAATGAGGTAGGCACCGCTCTTGCCTGTTCCATTTTTTGCTCTAGCTAAGATATCCCTACCAGATAAAGCAATGGGAATGCTCTCCTCCTAAGAGACAAGAAAATGAAAATTACTCATGAATAAAAACAATTAATAAGGAAATTATTCTTTAAATGCACTGAAGGTATACCTCTTTGGTACAACTTTAAAGTGTCTCACATTTGCATTTTACAAGAATAGGCAGAGGTAAATTACCAGCCAATGTCATCAACATTGCCAACCAATACTGATCAGAACTGCATACAGTATAAACTGTATCCCAATGTAATACAAACTGTATATGTGAATTTGTACGTGCAAGAATGTGTATGCCTAAGGAAGCTGGGCATCTAAACAAAGAAAACAACAAATGAAAAGGAGGAACCTGGGCTGACACACAAATAAGACTTGAATAAACAAAAAAAGCAAAGGACATCTCACAATTAAAAACTGGAGAAGAAGTGATACAAAGAATACAAAGGTAAGACTGTACGTTTTGAGACTAGGAAGCCAATTTAAATTTAAACACAATGAAAAATTGTGCCTTGGGCAGCCCATCCTTGCAAAAAATAGGAATCAGCTAGAAAGTTTAACTTTAGTTCCTGTTTGATTTTATTACATAAGTTCACAATGTCAATGTCAATGTTTTCACATGCAACTTCTCTGTCCTGAAGCGTGCTCAACTGGAGGCCCAATTCTATTCCAGTTATCTCCATCGATGGTCACATCAGAGACTGACTTTTCACTTTCACATTTAGCTTACTGTGTCAAGTGTATTTTGTAAAGATAACATTTCCTATTTGGACAAATCACCTAAATAGCAAAGGCCTCCCCAAAATTACTGAAAATTATTCATATACGGAGAGAAATTTAAAAATGAGAATAGGTATCAACAGGGAGGAAGCAGAACACTTCCATTTCTAAAACTAAAAATTTTAATTTCTAAAACCAAAAAATTAGGAAAATAAATTAGGAAAGAGATTTATTAACACTTTAACAGTTTCTATGCCTGAGCTAATAACCAAAAGAAGTATCTCTAGCACTTTAAAGTTATTATACAAACATTTAAGTAATAAACATCATTACTTGCATTTTCTTCCACTGTGGTACTCATTCTACCTAGAACCCATCACAGGAGTCAGATGGGTTCCATATTATCAGAAAAAGAAACACAGCTGCCAAAACAACGTAAAAAATGGTCCAATGACAATACTCTGTTACCCTCTCTTCCTACAACCAGCATTAAGCACTCTGCTTATCACAGTAAAGCAGGTCAAAGAAAAATCCTTGGCTTTGACTCTTTGGTCTTAATCTCCTCCTACTTTGAGTCAACTCTGTTAATCTTCAGTTGCTCTGGAGGCCTATTACCTCCACGGTTCATTTTATTTATTTATTTGTTTGTTTGTTTATTTACTCACTCACTCTCTACCCCCAATATGGGGCTCGAACTCACAACCCCGAAATCAAGAGATGCATGCTCTCCAACTGAGCCAGTCAGGTGCCTATCTTATACAGTTTTTAATAGGCTACATGCACACTACTCAGTTCTAGAGCAGGATAAAAGGGTCTCCCAGTGACATCCTGAGTCAGGTTCTTTATTTTTCTTTATTATTTTATTTGTTTAAGCAGGCTTCACACCCAGCCCTGAGCCCAACACGGAGCTTGAATTCACGACCCTAAGATCAAGACCTGAGCTGAGATCAAGAGTTGGGACACTTGGGGCGCCTGGGTAGCTCAGTCGGTTAAGCGCCCGACTTCAGCTCAGGTCACGATCTCGCGGTCCGCGAGTTTGAGCCCTGCGTCAGGCTCTGGGCTGATGGCTCAGAGCCTGGAGCTTGCTTCCGATTCTGTGTCTCCCTCTCTCTCTGCCCCTCCCCCGTTCATGCTGTGTCTCTCTCTGTCTCAAAAATAAATAAACGTTAAAAAAAAAAAATTAAAAAAAAAAAAAAAAGAAAAAAAAAAAAAAAAAAAAAAAAAAAAAAGAGTTGGGACACTTAACTGACCCAAGCCACCCAAGCAGCCCTGCAGCCCTGGAGTCAGGTTCTTTAAAAGAATAAAACTTTTAATGAAGTGAGGCAGGTCAGAATTAGCTTAGGGGTATCCTAATTCCCATTTTGGGTTCACCTTTTAACTTGGATTAAGGCACTGACTTCTGTTCCCCTGCACTCTCTGATAAGGGCTTATAGTCTACAGAAACTGTTTACAGTTTTTTGTTTTTTAAACCAAGTAAACTAGTCTTTAAGATACACATATATTTGCCCCATATGGTAACCATTATGATTAGCAAGCAGGGAATTCAATACATCCACACCGTCTCTCACCACTGTTTCCTAAGAAGATTAGGTAATATGAAGAAAGAGAATTCAAGTCAGGTTCAGACAGCTTTGAAACCCAAGAGAAAATCATGGGAGCTACCAGGGAGAAAAGAAAGAAGGAACGAAACAAAAAACTTTAAAAACTTACTGTGTGTCCGGCACTCAGATACTTTATATTATTTATATCCTTTCAAGTTAGGTACTTTGTTTTATAATGAAAACCTCTCCACACAAAAACGTGTCCGTGAATGTTCACAGTAGCATTATTCAAAATAGCTAGTAGCAGAAAAAAACCCCGTCGACTGATAAACCAAATGTAGTATAGCCATACAACAGAATTATTATTCAGCAATACAAAGGCAAGGACTGATACATGTTACAACATGGATGAACCCTAAAAAATGCTAAGTCAAAGAAGCCACTCACAAAAAACCATATATGCTAGGATTCCATCTAGATGAAATGTGGGGAACAGGCAAATCCATGGAGACACTAAGATTAGTGGCTGGTTAGGGCTAGGGGAAAGTGAAGGGAGACTGCTAAAGCAGCTTCTTTCTGAGGTGATGAAAATTTTCTAAAATTGATTGCAGTAACAGTTGCACAACTGTGAATATACTATCCCACTGAATTATATGCTTTAAATGTGTGAATTCTGTGATATGGGATTTGTATCTCAATCAAGTTATCAAAAAACCCATGACAACCCTACAATCTGAGGTCTGATTTTGCCACCTTATCTCCCCAAGTCCATGTTCCACTGTAAGGTCTAGGGACTTAACCACTAAGTATTCGTTGTGTTTTGGTTACCCTAGGATTCATTTTCCCTTTCCCAGTAGCACCCTAACTTCCATCTGAGGAACTGCATCTCCCCACCGGACACTCTAGCCAAAGAGGAGACATCAACTGAAGCCAGGCCAGCTCCATGCTCCCTTCTTAGAATTTAAATTGTTAAAGTACATCCTATAACAATTTGTAGCTTTCTAAGCCCTTCACAGCTGACTCAGTTCTTGGTCTATTCCAAGTGTGTTTCTCCAGATTTTTCTCACTCTTGTGAACTCCTCTGATACTCTTTCAAGAAATTTCCCTTTGCTTAAGTTAGCCCAAGTTGGTTTCTGTTGCCTACAACAGTATACTTCCCAATTTCCTAATACTGAGAGGCATTTGACAAAAGTGTCTTACCTAAAAAAACTGAAAATTGCCCAATTAGCTGTTTTTGGAGTAGCTGCTTCTTTTTACCTCCTAGTGCTAGGGAGCCTTAACAATATTAATCTCAGGGGAAAAGATAGTATGACTATGGTGAAGAAGATGGCAATGGTTCTCCCATCCAAGTACTAACCAGGCCCAAACCTGCTTAGCTTCTGAAATCAGAGGAGATCAGGCATGTTCAGGGTGGTATGGTCATAGACAACGGCAATGGTTCTCATAGGTATCTAGTGCTACCCAAAAAAAAGGATATGGAAGAAAGATAATAATTTCAAAAATATCTCTAACTTAGGAACACACTCCAATTTTGCCACAGTAACCAATGAGGAAATACTTTTAAAACACTTTTCTGCAAAGTTAGGAAACCAATTCCTAGAGTCATAAGAAATCTACATTAGCAAAAGGAATGATTTGCAAAGGATTAAGGATGCTATAATTCCTAGCTATCAACAATAAACTATCCATTTTTATTAGACCTGGTTGACAAAATAATTTCTCAAAATAGTTGAGAAATTTTGTTGCCAACAATAAGGAACTTCCATGTTTCCCTCAATAATGGACTACTTGCCATTTCGTCATTACCTAAAAAGTCTTCAAAGGTTGTACGTAGGGTCTGGAAGCAGTAAGAGCTGTCATTTTCAACCATCTCGAAGTAAACAGTTGACCCTTGAACGAGGGAATTATAGGCACTGTTACCCTCCCTCCCGTTCCACCCCTCTGCATCGCGGCAGACTCAAAAATCCATGTATAAATAACTTTTGACTCCTCTACAACTACGAACAGCCTACCGTTGACTGGAAGCCTGATATTGGTAAGGTAAACAATCAACACATTTTGTACGTTATATGTGAATAAATAAAGTAAGCTAGAGAAAATACTAAGAAAGTTCTAAGGAAAACACATTGACAATACTGAAAAAAAATCTGTGTAACGTGGATCCATGCAGTTCAAACCCTTGTTGTTCAAGAGTTGACTCTGTAAGGCTTCACGATGTTAAGCAGAATAAAACAGTAGATTCTTAGGCCTTCCAAAGAAGTCTGTGCTCCTATAAAGCTATGCCTTTAGAAAGGCATAGTTATGCTAGCTCTGGGGGATAGCATTCAGAACTAGAACTAGAGTCACAGATGGTTGCACCAAAGAAAGATGTGTGGAAGCAATCTGTAGTATATATGGTTCCAGACTGTCAGGGTACAATCTTTTTTGAGGATGTAATTTTAAGTGCTTCATTGTCCAATAATCTTACAGCCAACAAAGTCACCATCTCTTAAAAAAAGATTCAAATGCAGATGACACCCATCTGATCCAAAAGGCTTTTGTATTTGGGGAAAAAATGTCTGGACAACATTGTAAAACTAAGTATTATAGAACACCTTAAAAACAACTGGAAAACAAGGAGAGAAAAGTAGGTAAGAACAGAATGAATAGAAGACATCCAGTCATGAGGTTAGATTTTACTAGAGGTTTCTAAATTTCTTTGTTTCAAAATCTTAATATTTATGGTTTGTTAAACTGAATTAATTCTAAAGACCATCTTGTATTTTCCACAGATTCTCAGGCAAAACAACAGTGAAGAAAAAGACAATGGGAACTGTGGTCCCAGGTATCTAAAATAATACTTTGTATCTGTACACTGCTTTACTATGTCAAAATAGTTTGTTTACAGGGGTACCTGGGTGGCTTAGTCAGTTGAGTGTTTTACTTCGGCCCAGGTCATGATCCCATGCTTTGTGGGTTCGAGTCCCACGCGGGGCTCTGTGCTGACAGCTCAGAGCCTGGAGCCTGCTTCAGATTCTGTGTCTACCTCTCCCTATACCCCTCCCCCACTCTATCTCCCCAAAATAAATAAACATTAAAAAATATATATTTTGTTTACAAACTGCATTTGATTCTCACAAAAACCCTGTGAGGAAGATTACTTATTTTTATTTTACAGAGAAAGCTAGATGTGAGACTAGTTAAGTGGCTAGAGAGATTAACGATCTCTATGTTATATTAATACTCAGACACGAACAACAATGTCAATTTTAGGGGTGCCTCGGTGACTCAGTTGGTTTAGTATCCAACTTTTGATTTCCGCTCAGGTCATGATCTCACGGTTTGTGAGATCAAGCCCTGCATTAGGTGGGAAACAGGAGCTAGCAAGGCTCCATTAAGAATTCAGTCTCCTAGGGGCGCCTGGGTGGCACAGTCGGTTAAGCATCCGACTTCAGCCAGGTCACGATCTCGCGGTCCGGGAGTTCGAGCCCCGCGTCGGGCTCTGGGCTGATGGCTCAGAGCCTGGAGCCTGTTTCCGATTCTGTGTCTCCCTCTCTTTCTGCCCCTCCCCCGTTCATGCTCTGTCTCTCTCTGTACCAAAAATAAATAAACGTTGGAAAAAAAAAAAATTTAAAATTATTAAAAAAAAAAAAAGAATTCAGTCTCCTAAATGAACCACTGTCTCTTTTTTTTTTCTTTTTGAGGAAGGCAGGGGCATTTATTCCTTCCTGCCTCCCCCCATTTCCTTTGTTCATAAAACAAGTCTATGGAATAACAACCCATACCAATTATAGAGCATTCAACATCTACGAGGCACTATACCAAGCATACTAACATGAATGACCTCACTTAACCTTCACAACAACTCTATAATATATATCATATATACTGTTATATCAATTTTACAGGCCAGGAAACTGATGATTAGAGAGATACCTCAAATAATCAACTTAGAAAGGAGGGGAGTTGGGAATTCAACCTGGACAGTCTGACTGCAAAGCTAGTGCTGTTCAATAGTTCTACAGACCAAGGTTGCATGTGGACATGCCAACCATAATTTCACAACATTCTAAATAAATACTACTGAGTATCAGAAGGCCCATTTCCTGCCATGCACCTGAATACTGGAGATACAAAGTTGAATGATACAGTCCCTATAACAGAAGACTCATAAAACTTTCATCCCTGTAGATAAAATGGATTAACATGAACTACATTATATAAAAATAAATTCCGAAGTATTTTTAATGTATGTACTCAAATTGTCTGATGATATATAACCTTATCTTGATACTTTCTCCAACCATAATAAACCTCTTTAGTTCGTCCAGAAAGGCACACAAAGTTTAGAATCTCTAGGCAATCGCTATCCCAGTGTCTCTGGCTTAGAATATGGATCACTTCTTCCAGGTCATTCCATCTTCTTTTAATGGCTACACATATACACAATTTCAACTAGAAGAGGGCTCATCACAGCACACTGAAATTATCTGTACAGTTAGTAGTCTCATCCACCTGGCTGTGAGGGCAGGAACCCTATCTGTCTTGTTCATCACAGTGTCTCCAGTGTCTAACATTTTCTGGGTCACTCAGTACATGTTTGCTCAACGAAAAAGTGCTCATTGTCACAGGGTTTGTCCTTACTACAGCCTGGAACCAACACTGTCAATTAACATGCATGTTTAGGCCTACATGTATGTGTGTGCACATACACATTTCCACCTAAAGAGTCAAGGAGCAAACAGTGCACTCAGTACTCAGATGTAAGTCTCTAATACTGCTGTCCCACTGACAATCAGGGTTCCCTGGAGAAATGACTGATTCCAAGGCTGGGATAGCATAGGTGCAGATAAGCTTGACACCATGATATACCAAAAAGGAAGTACTCAAGGAAAAAGAGGGGATAGTGAGGAGTGGACAGGCAGAGCACAGAGGATTTTTAGGGCAGTAAAACTACTATGTGTGATACTACAATGATGGGTACATGTCAGCATACATTTGTACAGCATACTATAGAAAGTACACCACCAAGAGTGAACACTAATGCATACTACAAACTTTAGGTAAGGTTAAGAGAGGTTCCTTAGTTATAATAAATATATCACTCATGTGAGGGATGTTGAAAATGAGAAGTTATGCATGAGTAGGGAACCAGGGTTTATGGGAAATACCTTTTCTGCTCAATTGCTATGAACTTAAAATTGCTCCAAAAGATAGTCTATCAGAAAAAAAGCGGGGGGAGGGGGGGGGAAGGGGGGAGTGGGGGGATATTACAAAAACACAGAAACCAGCTTGAAGGAGCTCACCATAGCCAAATATGGGACAATTTGGCCACAAAAATACCACCAGGGGAAAAAAAATTCATGTGTCCACACTGATAACATATAGCTACATGAAAAGATATGGGAAGGCTCTTCTTCACAAGGCCAAACGTGCAAGGAGCACTACCATTGGAAATCCATCATTACCCACCAGAGTAAAGATTAAAGTATGCAAGAATCAACAATGGATACTAAGACTAAGGGGAAATTTTGATGGAAGAGTAAGATACCTGCATGGTCTTAAAGGCTCCCCATAGACTGCTTATTAGTTTTAAGGGAAGGGGGAAAAAACAGTTAATTAGGGGTGCCTGGGTGGCTCAGTCAGTTAAGCGTCCAACTTGATTTCAGCTCAGGTCATGATCTCACAGTGAGATTGAGCCCTGTATTGGGCTCCACACTCACAGCATGGAGCCTGCTTGGGATTCTCTCTCTCCTCTCCGTGCCCCTTCTCTGTTCACGCATGTGCACACACTCTCTCTCTCA